TTCTCCTCAGGGCTGCTCCCTATCCGCTCTGCACCCAGCCTGTACTTGTACATTAAGATTTAAATGCATTGCTCGTGGGCAGAATAGTTGTAGGGCTTTTTTGGGGTTTTCTTTTCAGAGCTGTGGATTAAATCCCTTTTTTGGAAAGGCCCTGCCATGTCAAACACAAAGCCTATCCGTTTTGGCCTTTAGTCCATGAGCTATTGATATGAGATCTGATATGGGGAAGAAGAACTGAAGGGGCAAACACTTTTCATTTTAGCACCCAGTAGCTCAGCATGGACACTTAAAAACAATCCAAAAAATCCTTTCCCACTACATTATTTATCCAGCAGAAGCAGCGATAGGATTGCTTTGTTTTTGTGAGGTCATGGGGAAATACTGTTTTGCCACTCATTTCACTGCTCCTCTTGATTATTTTTTTTTTAATGTTAGTTTTGCACTGGGAGGAGTAAAAAGAAAGTTACACTGCCAGCCTAATTCTAGTCCTCCACCCCTGTGGTTGTGAACGGTGTAGCTCTGTGCAGAGAACTAAATGTGTAAATTTTAAGTTTTGGTATGGGATTAAACATATTTCTGTGCTATGCAAATTTTGCTCTACTGGTGTGTAACGTAAGAATTTTATTGCACTCACACCTGGAGGTTGAGCTGAGGGCTACTGTCTGGAATCTGCCGCTGTTATGTCAGTTGTAAGACTGTTGGTTTGGGCTTTAACACTGTTAATGGAAATGTGCCTGATTGGCATGAAGAGGAAGCTGGAAGTAATAGTTCTAGCCATGGATTGTTCTGGCCAGCACGGGATGACCTGCAGGTGAGACTAGGTCATGTCACTGTGTATGATGCTCGTGGGCAGGGAGCCAGGAGAGGGGCCCTCTTCCTGCACCGAGGTTGTGGTCACTAGGGAGCAGACTCGGCCGTTGGACTCCGTGCTCCTGGCTGGTGGTGTGACCTCAGCAGCAGACAGGGCTGTAAGACGAGCTTCTCCCCTCACCTTTCCATAATGAGGCAAAATGCGAGGTAAATTTGCTGATGATCAGTTGTGCCTGAACAAACCTAAATTCCTTCTTTGATAAGATGACCCATTTTGATGTTATTTTGCTCCAGATGAAACAAATAGATCTGCTACATAAGGCTTAGGCAGAGCCCAGTGCCACTTAGTGAGTATCTAGTTCTGATACGGAAGAGAGTTAATATGAGGATGAAGGTGGGCTAAAGGAAACACCTGCTTGTATTTTATCATTTACTCACACACACACCCCCTCAAAAAAAATCTGAAACAAACAAAAACCAACAACAAAACTACAGAAAGAGTTGGACCAAGAGATGTGAACAGTAAGGAAATTTTCCCAAGGACTGGATTGACACCTGACCTTGCATTGTTTTCAGTAATAACCTTGGCACCAAAAAACGTTGGAATTTTCTGAAGAAAATGTGTGGAGTGCTGTCAGTACATGACAATTGAGGAGAGGCATCTGCAGCACACATGTATTAAGGACATGTTATTAGAGACAGATAAAACAGTAAGAATGGGCATGTCAAAGCTAATAATAAGCTCCTGGGAAACAGCAGAAACTCTTATTGTCACAGCATGATTAGCTAGAGAGAAATGCAAATGAGAGCTGAAGATATATTGGGGAAGATACTGTATTAAGAATAAGGAGAAATTAAGTTTTTCCTGCTGAGATGTCATTTGGAATATTACATGCAGTTCTGGCTACTGAATTCAAGAAACATTGGTTTAAGCTGGTTGAAATTTAATGAAGGGAATACTATGGGAATAGAGACTTTTATGGAAGGACAGGAGAGAAATATTTCAATATGAGGATAAGAACTGCAGGGTTTAGACTGGCTAGATCAAATGTAGGAAATTCAAAACAGCTCTTGCATCTTGTCGTGAGCTCCTGGAACAGCCTCCTTAGCGAAACTGTAGCGAGGGGGCAGAACGGGGGGTTGTTTTCATGGTAAGGCTTGATTGGGTCTTAGAGGTATCATGGGAGGACTGGACTTGCGGACTGAACACGATGACTTGGAAGTTCCTCTCGTCCTGTGTGAAATGTGCCGAAATGGTGACTGGAAGGACCTGAGCCTAAACCACAAAGTATCAGTGTAATAGTAGTTTGTGACTGGCAGGGACGTGAGAATGCGTGTCTGTGCCGTAATTTTTAGTCAGTAGGTTTTGGATTCTGTTTAGGTGTGTGTTTTGTGATACTAACTCAGTTGGTGAACCAGTTCCAATGGGCTTCTGAGAATCCAAATTTACACATCAGCAAGAAGCACATACACCTGGGTTTTATCTGATGTAGTATTCTCATTCTTGTGGCTGAAGTGATGTAGTACGTATACACTTTCAGTTTTTAAGAAATGTGAAAAAATGTAACTTTAAAATTGTGTGCCCTTATTTCCAAGCTGTACTCATCCCTTCATGACAGTGAAGAGGTGAAATTTCACTTTTAATAAAGAACACAGTCCAGTGCCATTTTAAGTAGTTTGGGAATTTAAAGCTACCTCTATATATGAATTGATGGGATGTCTTATGTGAGACTTGAAAATGAAAAATGATTATTGTGAAGATTTCTTATGGGTGTGTGTATGAGCAGCATTTTTTCAGTCAAGTTCTTAAGAGAAAGTTAAAAAAACATTGCTTTCTTGTCGGTTCTCTCTGATACAATGCTGGGAACATGGAGTCAGCATATTTAAATTAGTATCTCAGTTCTTAACGCAGTAATTGAATGATAATATTTTCATCCTAAATGTCAAAAATTGCACTGGCAGTGGAAAAAAGTTTATCTCACAGATGACAGAAACGAGATAATCTGCCAAACACAGAAATTTAGGATTCTGTTAAATTCTTTTGGACATAAGAATATTGGTGACCTATATTTGACTTTTGCATAGTTCAGAAGATTCTTGCTTCTGATATTTTTGCTTCTGGTTTTCCCCTCTTTCTTTTGTTGGCTGATTTACAGTACACTTAATTTCAATTTTCACTTTCTTTTTTACCCTACCTACTCCTATTCCCCCAAAATACAGATAGTTGGGGTAATCGTATAAATTACTGTGGAGGCGGCTATTCCTGAAACATTGGAAAGGAGAAACTGGTTTTTAATCAAGCTGTGCCAATAAAAGATAAATTGTTTTACAGGAACTGAAATATGGTAAATAACAAGCAAATGTTTGCAATAAAAAAAAAAATCACCTGGTCAGAAGTGGAAAAACTGATAAGGTGGATGAGTTTTTTCTGTTAAGCTGCCGTGTGTGACATAAAGCCAGTTCGTAGGCTCTTGGTGATTTTATGATCACTTACTGGTGTGGGGGTTTTGTTGGTGTGTTCTGTTCTTTGCAGTTGCCCTGTGGTCACCGGTGCAAGGAGATTTGCCATTCGGGTAGCTGTCCTCTGAACTGCAGCCAGAAGGTTAAGCTCCGGTGTCTCTGTAAGAGACTGAAAAAGGTAAATTTCTGAGTTACAGTTTTGAGAACGATGCGTTTTGCCTGTGCCTAGGCTTGTAGGATGGATTGTCTCTGGCGCAGGTTAGAATAGGTCCAGCTACTCTACGGGGCTGTAACAGTTGGCGTGAGCTGAGGGTTTGGCCTGCAGCATCAGAAGATTTACTGGAGGAGGTAACATCCTGTTAGCTACAAAGTGCATTAGCTGCCTGACTTCCAGTAGCTTTATCCTGAGGTTTTGTAGCTCCATTGAGAGAACAGTCGCATAACCTGGAGTGATTTGAGAAGAAAAATACGTTTTTCTGACGATATTTAGAAAGCTTGCTTGAGGTCAGCCAAGCGCAGGTGTTGTGAACCCCTGGCTGGTGTGATCACCCAGGGTTCTTCGCACACCTCCAGCGGCACGCGCAGGCGCCCGCAGCCTGGGCTTCTAGCAGCGGTGACGTACCAGGTGTGTTGCAGCCGTAGCGGATGACGAGGGGAGGAGCAGAAACTGATGTGATCTTGGCGAATAAGAATGACATAATGAAAGAATTGTGACCGGTCTTAATGAAAAGGTGCTTAAATTATTTTTCTGGACCCAGTTAACTCCTGAGCCTTCCAACCAGGCTGTAGTTAACCGCAAGTGTCGCAGGTGGGGTGTTCCACAGGAGACAGGATGACAGGTACGGAACAAGTGCTGCCAACTGAATGGTCTCTGCTTACAGATAACGCCTTTTATCCTTTTCCAGTATAAGGGGGAGAGGAAGGAAGTGTGTGTGAGAAGGCAATTTTTTCCCCATGACCAGACCTTGCCCTGGAATCTCAGCCAGTTACGGGAATGTAGATGAAATTACACTACTCTGACTGCTGGCTCTTTCTGCCAGAGTTCAGAAGCTTATCTTGCTTTGTCTTTGACAAACAAGTGAGAAAAGAGGAGAGAGGAGAAATTAAACTGGGCTATTTGATTTATTCTTGCTTTCAGTGTAGCTTATCAGAAAGAAGGAAAAGATAAAAAGGACAATTTAATACAGGATTACAGGTTCTGATAACATTTCATCATTAGCTTTCTGTGCATCCAGTGTTTTACTAAAGGATGGTTTATAATTATTTTCATGAGGAAGTGGACATGGTAACTAAAATTTTATGCAGGGAAACAGTTATAAAAATACTCAAATAATATTTACAGGAAGTACAATGCAGCAAGATACAAGAAGGCCAGGTTTCACTGGAATGCGACGCGTTATGCAAGGAAATGAAACGGAAAGCATCTGAGGTAATGTATCCATTGTAGCTGTAACTTCTTCTCAGTCCTTTAAGAAAAGTAGGGAAAAAATGAACACAATTATTTTTCAAGGCAATACCAGAAAAAATACAATGTAAGTAGATGGGTGCTGTTTAACAGGAGCTGCTTTTCAGACTTGCCTCTGTCATAGTGGGGGAGAATTACAGTGTTTGAGACAGCGTTAATTAACTCGGTGAAATACTATGTTAAAACAACATTGTTATTTTCCTGGTGGTGTTTTTTTAAATTTGTTAGAACTGGTTCTTTCCTCTTCCACTGAGAACAAGTGACAATCAGTGACGGTAAAACCATCACTGCTGCTGATTGGTGCTGTAGGATTAGGGCCTGGCTGCTTCATGGGGCATTGTTAGATCTGCTCTTCCCTGTGGAAGTTTTGCAGGCCGGGAATGCCCAACTTGTCCAGCATGAGGAATGTGATCCTGTCATGCTCCACCAGTTACTCTGTGCCAGAGGCATGGAGAGTTTTCCGGCAGTTGCAGTATACTTTTTAGCCTGCTGTAAATGTGACCTCCCTAGCAGCTGTTTTACAAAGTACAGAAATCGCTGCGCGCCGTCAGCTGGAGAGGCAAAAGATCAACCTTGCTCTTATAAGCCCTTTATAAAAACATAAAGAATTGGTGCATGACCTGCTTTGTTTTTATTGGGTAATTGGTAGTGATGAACGTACAACCCAAAAACTAAGTGGGTAAAGCTGACTTTCTGTCAGCTTCTGCTCAGGTTTTCACAGTTGATTGCCAGGTTCTACAAAGTGTCACATAGACTGAATCCTGCAAGTTTGCAGGCAGGTGAAATAAGACTCTTGGGATATGCCTTTAGAGAATCCCAGCCATAGCAAACCGTTCCAGTAAGAGTGCGAAGGTAAGTTCGTGGGATGTGGAGTGTACTAGAGCAGAGTGGATTCACAGCAGCCTGCATGAGCTGGGACAGCAGTGTGTCAGCTGCTGGTTTACTTCAGCAGGTGCTAGTTCCTGTTTCTCGCCCCTGACACTCTAATTCTCAGGGAGGAACAGACTAATGCAATGAGCAAATGACTACAAGTTTATGCTAGATGCAATGCCACAGACACACTGTGTGGCATAACCTAGCTCTTCCTCACAGAACAACATGGATTTATTTGGTTTGGGGTTTTTATATGAAGTTACAAAGTTCTATTTGGATACTTACTAGACACCTTTTTATAGCCTGTGTTGACTTGTGAATCATAGAATGGTTTGGGTTGGAAGGGACCTTGAAGATCATCTAGTTCCACCCCCCCTGCCATGGGCAGGGACACCTTCCACTAGACCAGGTTGCTCCAAGCCTCATCCAGCCTGGCCTTGAACACTTCCGGGGGTGGGAATCTGCAGTTTATCTGGGCAACCGCAACTCTCTCAGCCTGTCCCCACAGCAGAGGGGCTCCAGCCCTCTGAGCATCTTTGTGGCCTCCTCTGGACTCTGCAGTCTATATCCTTCTGATGTTTGGGGGCGTCACAGCTGAACTGCAGGTGGGGTCTCACAAGAGCAGAGTACAGGGGCAGAATCCCCTCCCTCGCCCTGCTGGCCACACTTCTCTGGATACAGCCCAGGATACAGTTGGCTTTCTGGGCTGCCAGCGCACACGGCCGGCTCATGTCCAACTTTTCATCCCCCAGTACCCCCAAGTCCTTCTCCTCAGAGCTGCTCTCTATCCACTCTCCACCCAGCCTGTGCTTGTGCTTGCCCTGCCCCACGTAAATGGCATACAAGAATGATCTCCTGTTATATGCACTTGACAAAAGGAGTTTATTATGTCAAATACTGTTCAGTGGGGCAAGACTGGACAAAGTCTGTTAAAAACCGCAGACATTTACAAAGATAATTTAGTTTGCATGGTTGTAAAACAAGTATTAATTTCCAAACCCAAAGTCTGTTATCTCTTAATAAACCTCTATGTATAGCATGTATTCTATGATTCTATTCCATGCTATTCTGAGGAATGGAATGTGTCTTTTACTGTACATTTTACTAAAAACATAGTTCTGGAGAGATCTTTTTCCATACTGTGGTTACAGTGGTTAAGCTTTCCTCTACCTGTGTGTATCATACCTATGTATCTTACACCAATATGACCATGCCAACGTAAAAAGAAGCTCTTCTGTTGCTTTTTGCCTGTTTGTGGGTCAGGTTTTCCGCTGGTGTGGAAGTTCTGCCATTAGATGGCACTGGAACCCAGGCAGCTGGCTGCGCAGGGTCTTCTGCACCAGGCTGCGATTTCACATGTGCATGGCTGAAAGGCCTTTTATACGGGTTTCTAAAGAGGCTCTGCCATTGTATCTAGACTAATGAAACTCAATAATGCTTTTATTTGATGTACAGTTTAGCAATTTAAAAAATTGCCTGAAAACCTGCAAATCTGACTGTTCTGTGACCCTGTTCTCAGTGCACTCTGTTTGAGCTACAGCGTGCTAAAGTGTGGGCTGGTGGGTTTTCTCCTTAGGTGTGAAGAGCTCTTCAATTGCACATCGTTTGGAACAAATTCCACCTGCACAAACCTTATTTAGTAAATTATTGTCACTGTTGGTATGCAAATCATCCAGTTATTAGGGTCAAGACTGTTTTTAATTTCAAGTTATTAATCAGGTTTTTACATATGACTTTTCTAAGGTGGCGAGTCAGTGGATGCAATGCTAAAGGTCTGAGGAATGTACACAAGAAGGCAGACACATGTACTTCATAGAATCATAGAATGAATCACAGAATGGTTTGGGTTGGAAGGGACCTTAAAGACCATCTAGTTCCAACCTCCCTGCCATGGGCAGGGACACCTTCCACTAGACCAGGTTGCTCAAAGCCTCATCCAGCCTGGCCTTGAACACTTCCAGGGATGGGGCATCCACAGCTTCCCTGGGCAACCTGTTCCTGTGCCTCACCACCCTCTCCGGGAAGAACTTCTTCCTGATATCTAATCTAAACCTCCCCACTTTCAATTTAAACCCGTTCCCCCTTGTCCTGTCACTACAGGCCCTTGTAAAAAGTCCCCTCCCAGCTTCCTTGTAGCCCCTTCAGGTACTGGAAGGTGCAATAAGGTCTCCCCGGAGGCTTCTCTTCTCCCGGCTGAACAAGCCCAACTCTCTCAGCCTGTCCCCATAGCAGAGGGGCTCTGATCATCTTCGTGGCCTCCGCTGAACTTACTCCATGTCTATACTCTCCCTGTTACTACTATTACTGTACTGATCTCTGACAATGGGAATTTTGGAGCTGGTGTCTTTCTGTTCAATGGCCTTTGGATCTCTCTGCTATTAGCATGCCTAATCGTTTTTCAGTCGACATAAACTTTTGGCATCTGTGAACATCCTGTAGCATTGGATTTCTAGATTTAGCCAAATGCTCTGTGGGAGTAGAATACTTCCCTCCGTTATGAACAGGCCTCCTGGTAACTTCATTTTATGCCTTTGCTTTTGTGTTATGACAAATATTTAGCATCTTCACACTCCTCAGGATTCTGTGCATTTTTTTTCCCCTGCTGACCCCTAGTTATGCATCTGTTCAGGGGGAAGCCACTCCATCCTGTTGGCTTTTGTATGTGTTTAGGCCTGACATTCTCCTGTCATTGCAGGGCCAGAACTGCATACAAGAGTGAAGATTCCAGTGCATCGTGATTACATATTGACATTTTTTGTGTGCCATTCTCCTCTTAATAATTTCTTGCATTTAATTTGCTTTCTTGAACACCACAAAATGCTTCTGTGGAATTATCAGTGGTAACTCACATGATTTCTTTTCATGATTTCTTTTCATATGGCTTTCTGGTGGTGAAGCATTCTTAATTACTTTTGGCTTGCATTACATCAAGGGCTTTAAAGCAGTTTGGTTATGTGATATCCAATATATGTTGTATTTGGTACAAATACAGAGGTTTCCTTTTGCTCCAGGAGTCAGGGAATATTTAAAGTACTTGGAATGAAATGTTTGTGTAAATTATACGTTTAGGAATTTATCTCTGTGTAAGGTGTGCTGAGTTGAGGATAAGTTGCTGAAAACAGAGTAAGTGTTTTTAGGACTTTGCCTGGTTGTTAGTGAACAAACTCTTCTTTTTAGGTTTTATATTTGTCGGTTGAGCTTGTCCAGTTGAAGTCTCAAGTTCAAATTATAACCTTGTAGCATCCATTATAAATTCCATGTTTTCCAAATGTGAGATGGTGCAACTGTTTCCAAGAACATTTTGTGATCTTAAGTTAAGAGCTCACTTCATGGAGGTTTTGCTCACTTTTGCTGAGAACTACTCTGTAGAAGTAACTATGGCTCTGTAAGAAAATGGTTTAGGCTGCTGTTTACAACATTTGCTTATCACTTTGTATGTCTGAACAGATAAAAGAGGCAGAAGCCAAAGCTGCTATTGAAGAAGAGAAACGAAGGCAACAGGTATCAACCTCTCTTCTTCCCCACTTTGTTCTTCTTAGTAAATTGTTCAATTTACATGCAACTAAAGATGTATAATTGGTGACGTGACATGCACAGTCATTCTCTCTGTTGTTATCTTACTCCAAGATGTGTGCTGGGAATGTTTTACAGTGGTTAAGAGCCCATGTGTTTTCCCAAACAATTTTCATGTTACGCAATTGGTAATTAATCCGTTTAATCTTGCACTGCTGTAACTGTGTGTAGTATGGCTTATTTTTACAATGCTCAGTGCTCTTGATTTTAATCAATCACTTAATAATGCATAAACCCCACAGAATTGCTGAATAGCCTCCACAGAGGTTTAAATATTGGGTGAAGCTTCCCTCCTCCTTCCCATCATGAAAGTGAGTCTTTGTCCTTCGAGGTCTCTGACAGGGGCAGGGGGAAGGGTATTTATTGTAAGTGCTGTTGGTGGTGAGCATACGTTGTGGGCGCTGTAATCCAAGAAGCTGCTGTGCCAGCTGCCTGGGGACACTGACGCTGGTCAGTTGGTGGCGAGGGCTGGCTCAGGTTTGTCGGCTGGAGGCCACAGCCTTAACGCGCTCCTTCCAACCAGCACGTGCACGTGTGCCTGAGCACGTGACGCCAAACTGTACTCGAAGTCTGGGGTGTGCTTTCTCACTCTCCTTTTACTCAGCTGTCACAACGTGTTGGGTTACACTTGTGTTTTCAGCCGCGCGTCACGCTGTTCTGACGGTGGAGCCCTGGCTCGCCCTCTGCTTGAAAAGGGGTGTGGGAGGCTTACTCACACGCCCGAGCCTCCTGTTGCATTCTCCCAATCGGATAGACAGTTTCTCTGGGGGTCACAACTTCTGTTATGCATAGAGGCTTTGTTAAAGCGTTACGTCAAGCACCCACTACTCCAGCAAGGCCTGCTTTTGTTTCTCAGAGGAGAGTGTCTACTCGGCGTGCAGGAAAAGCGTGCCGTCAGGTACCCGTTGGCCAAGGGACCGGGCACTGCTTTGTCATCGCCTCGTAATGTTTAGGGGTACATTCGTGCCTCAGCTGTCCGCAGTATTGATCACATACTCCCTCATGCAACCCACAGACAGCTCTTCCAATTCTTCTTGCGCTCTAAGGTGGCCTTGGAAACGTTTGTTCTGGGACATGGGTCAGAAGTGTCGCTTGCGCAGAGATGTCTGAAACGTGTCATTAGGCAGAGCTAATCCGTAACTGGGGGTTCTGCAAGCCGAGTGCCGAAGTGTACTAATGGACTTCTACACGTGTGAAGAACATGCTTACAGTTCTAGAGCTGAAAATTCAAAGCTGCTAGTGTTTGTACTGATTGTCTTTTCACAAATTCCAGAAGCCATCCCAGTTACTAATGATTTCTGCCTCAAAATCACTTAACTTACTGAGGATTTACTAGGGGGACTATAACGAGGCTTCTCTGAAACTGTAACAGATTTACTCCACCAACACAGCGTGCAACATCTGGATTGTTCAGCAGTGATGGCTTCTCTCTGCAGTCACCCCACCGTTGCTTTCTACTTGTACAATCACTGAAGTCTCACAGTTGCATCCAGCAGTAGCCTTGCGCAGTACAGGGCAACTGCTTCTGTGTACGTGTTTTGTGGTGGATGCAGCTTCAGGGGTAGAAAACTTTGCCTATATGTAATCAAGCCTATTAAAAAGTTAACTAGGAGTGTCCAGTTATATAGAATCACAGAATGGGTTGGGTTGGAAGGGGCCTTAAAGACCATCTAGTTCCAACCCCCCTGCCATGGGCAGGGACACCTTCCACTAGACCAGGTTGCTCCAAGCCTCATCCAGCCTGGCCTTGGACACTTCCAGGGATGGGGCATCCACAGCTTCTCTGGGAAACCTGTCCCAGTGCCTCACCACCCTCCTTGTGAAGAACTCCTTCCTGATATCCAATCTAAATCTCCCCACTTTCAATTTAAACCCATTACCCCTTGTCCTGTCACTACAGGCCCTTGTAAAAAGTCCCCCCCAGCTTCCTTGTAGCCCCTTCAGGTACTGGAAGGGGCAATAAGGTCTCCCCGGAGCCTTCCCTTCTCCCGGCTGAACAAGCCCAACTCTCTCAGCCTGTCCCCATAGCAGAGGGGCTCCAGCCCTCTGAGCATCTTCGTGGCTTCCTCTGGTCTCGCTCCAACCGTTCTATATACTTCCAATGTTGTGGGTAATGTGTAGCACACTAGTCAACAGTAAAAAAATAATAGTAGGACAAATAAAAAAAGACAACTAATAAATAGGCTGTAGAATTGCACACAAGTACTAACCTCGGCTACTGCAGCCTTTTATCTAACATTGATTCCCTTCCAATTTGGTCTCGTAATCTGCCATCTGGTGATGCAAACTGAAGGACATCGCTGTCCTAGGGTGTTGGGTCCTCTTAAGAGTATGGATTTGCTGGGTGTGCTTCCCTCTCTGACAGAAGTTTTCATCTTGCACCACCTTCCTGATCTTATTATCATGTTTTTATACAGACAGTTCATCTGTTACTCGCAACTTCTTGAGACCTGTTTTCATTAATACTTATTAAATCCCTTACCCACAAACTAGTTAGGGCTCTGGTAAGTCTGCACACGTATGCTTTGCTATTTGCTGTATTTGGTAGCAGCTTTTGCTAATACTGCTTACAGATGGGATCGCTTGTTTCTCGGTGCGAGGCCTGATTAGGCTTTTCATCATGGCCCTAGCAGCTGAGTGGCACTGTGTGAGGCCAGGGTTTTCACAGTTGCTAGAGGTGGTAACAAGATCAGTGCCTCGATTATTTAACATTGCAGACCAAGCGCTCTCTCTGTCCCACTCCGGTGTAAAGGATTTGGTTGCTTTTTTTAAGCTAACTGCTAACAGTCAAAAGTTTCGAGACTGAAAGTCAAGGTCTCAGGCCTGGATTCTCATTTAAAAAGTTGGATGAACCATTTTGTTTCCTTTTCTCTTCGCAAGAAAAATGCTTTGACAGCTCCTTAGAAGTTAAAAAAGTCAAGCATCCCCTCTGTAAAATGTAAGACCTGCAATTTCAGACTATATGCATTGTGTCTGTGTACTCGCATTTACTTGCGTTCATTTAGCTTCATGTTCCCGTGAGTCATCTGCTCCTTCCAGTGCAGGAAGAATCTAGAGAATACCACATGAAGTAGAAAAATCCAGTACCTGAGCAATACTACATTATACATTACCTGACATCAAATCGCTTTGAGTGTTCAGCTCAAATGCGTTTCATTTCACTTTAAATATGTCTGTACACAGGAAGTTGGGTTCTTACTCTGAATAAAAAGCTTGACCTTATTTAGCTTGAAAAAAATAAGGTAGTTTGAAGACTGGGCACAACCGTTCCTTTATTGTTCAGAGATCATCGAGGTGACGCTTTGGGAACGATGGCAGTTACATAAAATCCGTAGGTAGCTTTTCAAGGATAGTGATGGCTTCTCTCTCGTATTCTGTGCCCACGGACCTTTTTTCATCCTGTGTTTTGTTTTTTATAATGTATGTATTTTTAGCTGGGTTTTCATAAGGATCACTAGGAAGGCAATTCAGTACCTGTTATATAATTGTTCAAGCCCTATATTTTAATTCAGATTACTGCAATTCATGAAGCACTCTGCTTTTAAAACTTAGAGATCACAAGTATATAATAGCTGTAGAAGTCCCAAGTTTTATTTAGCATCTGGGCAAGATGAAATACTGCCGTGTTATCTATAAAACCTTAAGAACTCTGCACTTGCTTCCAGATTTTGGATTCTGAAAAAATGTTTCACTGAAATACTTTTCTAAAGGAGGATTAGCTATTCGGAAGTAATCTTGTTTCAAATAGCAGGCTGTGGAACTTGGTCTGAACTTTTCTCCCGTATCATCAGGGGAGTGCCAACAATTTCTGCCTTTGTTAGGTACAAAGGAACAGACATCAAAATGGGTCCCCTTCTCCTGCTAACAGTGGTATCTGGCACAGGAAGGGCAGTAAGATCCGCCTTGTGAAACTCTGACAAATGCTTGCTGTCAGTAGAGGAAGACCAGACATCAGGCAATCTTTGAATTCCAAAGGAAAATTATATTTACTGGACTACTTCTCTGCCCATTTCCCAAAACAGTCTTATTCGTGTTCCTTTAATGTACCTACCTT